AAACAGTTTTCTCCCTCATCTGTTTCAATGCAGTATACATGATTTATTCCATCTTTCTCAGTCTCCTCTTAGCCCCGAAGTCAGTCCTGTTTTACAACAGTGGCACTATGCAGTATTTGCCCCTGTGTGACTGAGATATTTCACTCAGCATAATGTCCTCAAGGGCCACCCATTTTGAATAATATTGCATGAGTTCCTTGTTTTTCAATGCAGCATAGTATTCCATTGTGTGAATATACCACAGCTTCTCTATCCATTCATTTGTTGATGGAAACTTAGGTTGTTTCCAACCCCTTGCTATTGTGAACAAAGCTGCAAAAACATGGGTGTGCATATATCTCCTTGGGTGGCAGTTATGGTCTCTTTAGGGTATATTCCCAGTAGTGGAATTGCTGGGTCAAATTGTATCTCTATTTGCAACTTTTTGAGAAAGCGCCACACCACTTTCCACAGTGGTTGCACCACTTTCCACTTCCACCAACAGAGAATAAGGGTTCCAGTTTCTCCACAACCTCACCAGCATTTGTTGCTTGTTGTTTTGTTAAATTTTGCTATTCTTACTGGGGTGAGATGCCATTTATATTTCTTATAGAAGGTATTTGCAATGAATGAATTACTGGTTGTAAAAAATTCTATCATTCTATTTCCAGCCTCATTTCTTTCACCAAGTTCATGCATTGTTCCTCTTAATGGTATCCCACATTATTGTTAGACTGTCTTCATTTTCCTTTTCCTTTCTTCTACTTTTTTCTGTACCATATCAGTGCTGGAAATTCTGTCTTCTGTTTCACTATTTCTGTGCTCTATCTATTCAAGTCTATCCATCTTTCCCTTTAACATATTAACATCTTCTGAGATGTTGGCCATCTTATTATAGATTGCTGTTTCTTGTTTTTCTTTTCTTAAATTTCATTGCTTTCATCTATTTTGTCTTATATTGCTTTGTGAAGTCCCTCTAGGATTTTACTTATAGTTTCCTGAAATTCTTGATTTATTTTTTTTTTCTTTTAGCCACTGAAACCACTTGACCATTTTTCTTTTGAATTCAGTGTCAGGAAGTTCTATCAACCTTTCCTCCTCCATGAAGTCCATTGACTCTGTGCTTTGATCACTGTTTTAGGTGACACTTTAATTTTGTGTGTGGTTTGAAGTAGTTTGCTTCTTTCATGTCATTGTGATGATATTTTTGTAGGAATGAAAAAGAAAAGAGTTATGTTGTATTCTATTTACTGGTGATCTGGTAATAGTAAGCTTAGCTCCTTGGGCTTGTAAATCAAATGAAGGCTTTGATTCTGTAGAGAGTTGTTCTTCCACCTTGAAGGTGTAGAAGTAGAACTCCAGTGTCTCTTCACGTTGAGCAGTACAGGCATCCTCTTCAATCGGAACTGCAGGTGGCCCCATCTGGTGAGTCGTGTGCAAAGAAGCATAGCTTTCTGTAACTTTCCTCAGCACAGGACCAAATTATGGGTCTCAAGCTTGTGGATGGGTCACCCAAGGAATCATCTATCTGTCGGAGGCTTTAGGAGTGAATACCTAGCAGGTCCATCAGCAGGGAGACAGTGCTTCCCACAACTCTGCTTGCCACGGGTTGCAGTATGAATCTCCAGCTGGGTGGAGGAGACCTTAGGTATGAGGGTCCCAAGACCTCTCCTGTCTGCCTATGTCACTAACAGTGCCAACATGACTAGACCTTTGGCAGAAACTCTGCTCTGGGTATCAGGTAGGGAAGGGTGTCTGTATGGCTGTGTCCTAGCAGTGATAGACTCATACTTCTGTATGTCCTTTAGAGCAGATATCCAAGTTTTCAGGTCTAGTGGCCAGCATCCACTGTAGGGGGGGAGGTGGCACCTGCTGAGAGAGTGGCAGTGCCCATTGAGGATTGGTGTCAGCCACTGGGGGAGGTCAGGTCAATCATTGCTCAATCACACAGCACCTAGAGAGAGGACGTGTTTTTGCAAAGGCTGCAAGACGTGACGGCGGTATGACACTTAGGCAGCAGTTCTTAATAGCTATTTATTGATAAAAAGGATACATTTAAGTGTAAGAGGTAGGATATTATATTGGATATACAAAATGATTACATATACATAAACCAAAAATTTTAACAAAGTATTGACAGAAAAATGTTGGAAAATATTAACAGAGGAGTTGTCCTTGAGAAATGAGGTATCCAATGTTATTCTCCCCCTTCCCCATATCTGATTCTTCTGCGTAATGCCCATGCCCAGGCCTTATATTGCCCAAAATTTGATATGGCAGGTAAAGTCAAGTAAGGGCCTTCCATCACTATTCCTACTTTCTTATCCTTAACTCACTTAATCAGATTGCTTTGTGGTTGTTGTTGTTAGGTGCCGTTGAGTTGCTTGTGACTCATAGTGACCCTGTGTACAACAGCTCTAAACCCTGGTCTATCTTGAGCCAATTTCACTTTCTCCAACACACTCACCCCCATTACCCCAGTCACTGAGCTCATCCAGGGTTGTCTCTTGAGCTGTCTCTCCACTTTTCCAAGCATGATGTCTGTCTCTCAAGGACTGGTCCCTTCTGGAAATATGTCCAAAGTATGTCAGCTGGAGCTTTAAAATTCTTACATCCAAGGAGCAGCCTTATTTCACCCTTTCCAGGACATACTTGTTTATTCTCTTAGGAGTCCATGGTATATTCAGTACTCTTCTTCAGCACGACAACTCAAAGACATTGATTCTTCTTCCATCACCCTTAGTCATTGTCCAGCTCCCTGATGCAAAGCAAGTAATTGTGAAGACCATGGCCTGGATCAAGCTCACCTTAGTCCCCAGATTGACATCATTGTTTTTCAATACTCTGGAAAGATTCCTGATAGCAGATTTTCCTAATGTAATTAATCTTTTGATTTTCAGGCCACTGGTGCCAAGAGTGTTGATTGTGGAGTCAAGCAATCAAAAGCTGTTAACAATCTCAATCTTTTCTCCATCTATCATGATACTGCCAACTGGCCCAGTGATGAGACTCTTTGTTTTCTTGATGTTGAACTTCATCCATATTGAATGCTGCCATCCTTGATCTTCTGCAGCAAATGTCTCATGCCCTCCTCAGTTTCAGCAAGCAAGGCTGTGTCAGCTGCATAACACAGGCTGTTGATAAGTCTTCTTCTAATCCTGAAGCTACATTCTTCCTTGTAGATTTCAGCCTCCCAGATTGCTTGTTTATACCCATCTAAAATCCCAATGGAAAGAACTAAGATCTTGTAATGGAATATTTACAAACCTATTTGGAGAACTAGTGGCACATTGATTAAGCATCAGCTGCTAACCAAAAGTCTGACAATTCAAACTCACAAACTGTGCTACACAGGAAATGATGGCAGTTTGCCCTCCTCTGAAAGATTTTTGGCTTTGCAAACCCTACAGGAAAGTCCTATTCTGTTCTGTAGTGTCACTATGAGTCAGAAACTACTCAGTGAGTTTGGTTTGGGGTAAATAAATTCACTAGCAAACTGCATTTTGCACAGCAATCCATTTTCATTGTTTCATTGTATTTCACAAATCTCAGGGTATATTGGCACGTGTATATGTGTGTTGAAAATATGAGTCGCTGGAGATGAAATCAGTTGCCACTATGAATATCATATCCATAACGCCTGACCTTACAATAAACCTGATATTAACATTTTAAGTTGGTAAAGCTATAATTAATTTGGTGAAGAATTTCTAAAATATTTTCTTTTTGAAGGCAATCACTCTCTAATGATAGTTTACACAATTGAACTTTTAAGGCCTGTTACCTTAAAAAGTTTTATGATATAGGCAGAGTCAAATATGATTACTTTTTCTATTTTACACATATTATTGCTGTGATGTAAGAAATGACCCATAGCTGACCCTCCAGTGTGTTTTCAGAGGCAGTAAAGTTGCACAGGAGAATTGCCCACCTTTCTCGCATGGAGCAGTTGGTTGATTGGAACCACAAGCTTTTGAGTTGGCAGTGCAATTCCTTACCACTTCACCAGAGTTCACATAGAAGAACTAAATTCAAGAAAGATTGGGTGGCTACTCCAAGGTATCACCAAATTCCATTCAGACCAGCTTCCAGGACTCTTCCCACTGATCCCATTTATTCTGTCTCTGGTGACAGAATAAATTTAAGATTAAATCCATTATAAAAGCTTGAAACACAGATACTTTCTTTGTAAATAGAAGTCTGAGTTGCTGAAAAACACAGTTGGGACAGGTAAAATGAAAGTAGAAGAGCCCTTTTATAAAAGTGCAGAAGATCTGAAAGAAGAGTTTTGCAGACCAGGAGTAGAGGGTAGAGCTTGAGGGGGAGCAGGAGTGGGGGTGAGGGAATCATGTAGTAAGCATTTATTGAGAAGTTAATACTTCAGTACCAAATGCTATTTTCTTAGGATATAAGATACTGGTGAGAAGAATCTAAAATACCTAACAGAGTTCTGTATTTAAAGAATCTAGCCCTGACTTGCATTTGTGACTTATAAAAACAGTCCTAATTGTTTCAACCTTCCTCAATAGTATTCACTCGTTATTTCCACTGAACCTTGAAAATTTATTGGATATTTGTAATGTGGCATAGAGCTTAGGAGCTTGGACTCTAACATACTGCCTTTGTTCAAACCTTAACTGTGTTCCCTCCTTCAGTTTCCTCTTTATGTTGTTTTGAAGCACTTAGTCAGTGACTGTCATGTAAAAGGAATTAAGAAGAGTTCATTATTATTATTTATGCTTAATGAAGATTAAGAAATACATTTTACAGATTTTCATTTAAATCATAGAGAGTTTAGATTTTTTTTTTTCCTCCCTAAGGCCACAGTGATAGGTTTAAGTCTTAGACACAATTCTTTCTGAGTTCTTTCCTAATTTTCCAATGGCATATTAATGTGAAAGTGGTTCTTTCCTTGATCACTCTTCTTTATCCTGCGATTATCACTCAGTCCAATGACTGAAGTAAAAATGTGGTTGGTGTCGATGAAGACTAGAGGCACTGTAGATGGTCCTATTCAAGACCTACTGAGTGTCCTCACCCATTCTGATTAACTTGAGGAAAGCCCTCTTCACGTCCTTATTTCTCAGGCTATAGATGATGGGATTGAGAAAAGCAGAGATGACATTGTAGAACAGAGCTAGTTTCTTGTCATCCTCAGGAGAGGCCTCAGCACCAGGCCTCATATACATGACCATACAGGGAATACAAAACATGGTGACCACAGTGATATGTGAGGCACAGGTAGAGAAGGCCTTGACTCGCCCCTGGGTGGAGCGAATCCTCAGAATAGCCATGAAGATATGAATATATGAGGCCAAGATGAGAGCTAATGGGATCAGGAGCAAGATGAAACCCAGTATAAAGTCCACTTGGTCATTGAGAGATGTGTCTGCACAGGCCAACTTCAAGACAGCAGGAATTTCACAAAAGAAGTGGTTGATCTCATTGGGGCCACAGTAGGGAAGATTCATTGCAAAGACAGTGTAGACGAGAGCACAGATGAGACCACAAAGGGCAGAGCTGACAACCAGGAGTACACACAGGGTTTGGCTCATCTTGACGCCATAATGGAGTGGATAGCATATGGCAACATATCTGTCATAGGCCATGGCTGCAAAAATCCAAGTCTCCGTGATTCCCAAGGTCAGAAAAACATACATCTGAACCACACACCCAATGTAAGAGATAGTTTTATTCTTGCTTACTAGATGAATCAACATCTGGGGCACTGTGGTGGTAGTGTAGCTGAGATCCAATAGAGAAAGAATGCTGAGGAAGAAGTACATAGGAGTGTGGAGGCGTGCATCTACTCTGATCAAGGTGACAATGAGCCCATTCCCTAAGACTGTAAATAAGTAGAGGAAGAGGAAGAGGAAGAAAAGGAGCCAGTTGGTCCTAGGGTTTCTGGAGAAGCCTAGAAGGATAAACTCAGTAACAGAGCTCTGATTTCTCCAGCTTCGGCTTTGCATGGCCTTCCTTCTGAGGATAGAAAACAATACTCTTGATTCCTTTGCAATGTTAATGTGAGAATGTAAGTCCACAGTTCAAGGCATCTCAGAACCTAAATGATCAACCAATACACCCACTCTCAACTCAGAAAACTTTCTATCCAAATTGACTAGCACAGCTCTAGGCACTAAGCAGAGAGTCTATAAGTATTGTTGGCTTATCTAAACAGACTTGCTAACAATTTGTAGATCCCTGTGAGAGGAATTGTATCAACAGAGGAGAAGTCATATTTCAAAGCACAAATACACACACACACACACACACACACACACACACACACACTATCTATACACATCATACTTACAAAGCATAAATTGACCAAACTAAGGAAGCTAGAACAATATAAGTATAGTGAACTAAAAGTTTTTGAGTAATCCATAGTTCCTAAAATCCGTTTTTCAGCTATCAATGCTAACAGGTTCTGCAATGATACTGTAAATGTAAAATACTCAAGGTAGCACTGGTAGCCCAAAGATTCCAGAGCAAAGAGAGGACTAAAATCAAACTAGCTTTTCCTCTTCACCTAGTTCTTTTGCTGTAATCTTGAATATCTATTCATGACACAACTTTTGAAAAAAGGAAAATTTCAAACAAATTAACTTTTAAGAGTTTTGAGATTTTAAAAACTTCTGAAGACTTAAGTGTGCCTGGTCTATTCAATCATTTGCTATGCAGCTGAGAACTGGACAATGAATAAGGATGACAGATGATTTGATACTTTTGAGCTGTGGTGTTAGAGAAGAGTATCCCATGAATATCCCATGGACAGCCAAAAGGACATATATGTTTTGGGAAAAAAGTGCAGCAGTGTTCTCCTTGGAGGCAATCGTGGCAAAACCTTGTATGTCATACTTTAAGAATATCATACTTGGAAAATTGGAGGATCAGTGAAAGAGAGGACGATCCCTAACAATATGGGTTGACATAGTGACTGCAGCAATGAGCTCAAGTGCATCAGAATTGATGAGAATGGAGCAGGATAGGACAGAACTCAGGTCTGTTGTTCACAGGATCACTATGAGTTTTAAATGAATTTTTAAAAGATAAATCTTTCCTCTAGAACCTTCATCTCCATTATTGCTGCTTTCCCTGTTGTTATTGTGTGGCATAAGAACCAACCTAGAGTTGACTCCCACGCAGATTTTCAAAGGCAGTAATTTGTGTCAGAAGAGATTATCCCAGTGGAAAAATTAGTGGATTCGAACCATGTCAATTTGGGATTGCAGTACAGCTTCTTAACACTAGGCCAATCAAGAACAAATTGGCTCTAAAGATTTCCACAGAGACTCAGGTGTTGAAATTGAGAGTAAATGGATAGTTCTTCAAAAATAAGCCACATTAATGAATGCTTGTGTTCCCGGATGATTTTCTGAGAAATTAGGAAGGAATTACCCACATCTATGGTGCTCATCCAGCAGAGTTGAGCAGTGAATAGGAATGAATCTTCAGTTTGATCTGAATTCAATCCTTGATCGCATGTTAGCAGGCCTGAGGAACAGAAAATGTCACTAATTCTTCTCTCTTCATTCTTTTGCTAAATGACTACAACAGAAAATGCCACTCTTTTCATATCTCAAAAAAGGAATTGGCGATTTATTGAATTTCATTTTCTGTGTCTGCTAGGCATTGTATAAAATATGTTAATTGTTATATCATTCAATTAACACAACAATATAGTAAGATAAGTATCACTATGTTCATAGAATGAGCCATTTGAGATCAAACAGCTAATAAGTGGTAGAACCAGAACTCAAATCCCAAGTCCCATACTTAGTAGTTGATCACAGAGGAAGAGATGCTCATCCTTCTCCCACAGAGAGGCTGGCAGCTGGTGAATTTGAACTATGTGCCTTTGGGATTGCAGCACAGCTGTAACCTTAAGCTTTCAGAGCAGTTAAGTCTTCAGAGCAGCAGCCAGTGTATTAGTCCATCTTATCGAGAGTTTTCCTCTCTTTGGTTGACCCTTTACCTTTCCAGGCACAGTGTCCTTTTCCAAGTAATTTCCTCTCCTAACAACATGCCCAAAGCATGTGAGATAAAGCTTCACCATCCTTGCCTTTAAAGAGCACTCTGGCTGCACTTTCTCCAAGACTCACCCATTTGTTCTTTCTGGCAGTTCATGGAACACTCAGCCCTCTTCTCCAACATCATAACTCAAAGGCATCAATCCTTCTGTCACCCTTATTCATTATCCAGCTCTTGGATGCATGGCAGATTATGGAAAAGACCATGCAATGGCATTAAGTATATAAGAGATGATAAGGATGGCACTGGACAGAGTATGGTTTAGATACATTGTTCGTATGGTTGCTATGAGCTATATTCAACTTGATGAAACTTAACATCAACAACAACGCTGAAATATGTCTTTCATACAATTACATTTCTTTCAAGATCTGTTAGGACCCAAATTGGAGACCAGGCTCACTTTGGCTGACACTGAGAAAGAAAAACAACCCATGTATTAACAATTTTAGAAGGCAGAGGTGCACATTGTATAGCTTTGCAAATTATCAGGGTATTCCTTTTTCCCCATAGAAAACTCCAAAACTTTGGACAGGAATTTCAACATCAGAGACATTGCGTATGTAATGAGAAGGCTAATTGCTGTTCATCAGAGGTGAAGCAATATTCACAAAGTCTCAGGCATGGATGGATATGGAAATATATTAATTCCTACATTAAAAGCAATATTACAGTAGTTTTAGAGTTAATAGACTCTGAATCCCCACTCTAACATATTGATAAATCTGAGCTTATCTTTATCCCAGATTTCTTCTCTGAATTAATCTATACAATGGAATACTTGTCAACTCTAATTTCTACTGTTGTTGTTAAGTGCCATCAAGTTGAGTACAACTCATAGCACCTTCTAACCCGCCTACAGCTGACCTCACCCCTTGCCTATCCTGTGTCATCCTCATCATCTCTGACACACTAGAGCCCACTACTGAAGTCACTGTGTCAATCCATCTCGTTGGGGGTGTTCCTCTCCTTCACTTATCCTCCATCTTTCCAAGCATGTAGTCTCTTTCTGAGGAACAGCTTCACCCACTACATGCCAAATTATGAAAAACAAAGCTTCATCATCTTTGACTCCAAGGAGTATTCTGGCTGGACATTTTCTAAGACATATCTGTTTGCTTTTTCAACAGACCATGGGCTATTCAGTATGCTTCTCCAACACCACAACTCAAAGGCATCAATTCTTCTTCTGTCGTCCTTATTTATTGTCCAGCGCTCTGATGTGTAGCAGGTGATTAAGAAGGCCATGGCCTGAATGACGCTTACCTTATTTTTGTTCTTCAGCTTTTTTTGAGAGACCCCTGACAGCAGATTTGTCCATTGCAATATGACTACTGATTTCCAACTGTGGCTACGCACTTTAAATGTAACATTTTCTAATACCACACTTCCTCTGTAAACCTATTATTCTTACAGTCTTTCTCAACTCCATTAATGGTTACACCATCCTTTGAGGTTTTTAAGGTAAATATCACAGAAAACCTTGATCTAACTTTTTTTCTTTGTCTTACATCCCATATCATGCACTCGATCAGTATATATTTTCAGTTCCTTTCAAAAGTATATCCCCAGAATACCACTTCTCACCATCTCCATTACCACTCTGGTCCACATCATTATCTTCTCTTGCCAGGAATATTGCATTATCCCCTAACGGGTCTTCTCGCTTTCACTCTCTTCCTGCATAGTCTATTCTCAGCACAGTAGTTAGAAGAAATTTATTAAATGATAGACCAGATTATGCAAATATTGTGGTGTCTTCTTACAGACCGTAGAGGAAAATCCAAACTCCTGATAAGGGCTTTGAAGCGTTTCATCACTTCCTCAGCCCAATTTCTTCCTCTCACCTCTCACCTCTCTCTGTCTTACTCTAGCTATAAAACTTTTAATGATCCTCACTTAAGGCACAATCTTGCTTCAGAGCTTTTCTACCTCCACTCTCAAAATTTTTCTTTCTCTAGCTATATTTGTGCTTCATATACTCACCTCCTTCAAATATTTGCTAAAATGTCACTTTCTTAGGATATCTTGAATCTTTCTTGATCATGCAGCCTAAAGATTGAAACATCTCACACTACATATCCTCATTTCCTGTTTTATTGATTCCTCATATACAACTCAGCAGAGATGTTAACCTCACTATGCATTCATTTTCTCATTCGCAGAACTTGGAGAATACCACATTGTGAAGATTAAGTATGATTTTAGATATATGTAATAATATAGCAGCAGTGAGTATTAATTGTTATTGTTGCTGTTGCATGCCATCAAGTCGAAGCCAACCCAGAGCTGACCCTCCGATGGGTTTTCAGAGGCGGTTAATTGCACGGGAGAAAATTATCCATCCTTCTCCCATGGAGAAGCTTGTGGCCTTGAACCACAAATGACAAAACAACAAAAAGCTTATTGTTGCAGAGTCAGAACTGACTTATAGTTAATCCTCCAATGAGTTTTTAAGACTTTGTCTCTAAACTAAGCTAAGTTAAACAGAAACAGAAGAAATAAGGGCCACAGTTATAGCCCATATGTTATCTTGGTTGATGCTATTTGAAATATTAAATTGGGAGATGAAGCAGAGATAAAATTAATTTTATTTTTACACTTAACATGGCCAGTTACTTTATGCCAGAGATGGGATAATGCTAAGAGCATAGGCCCTAAATCAGAGGAGGTGTCTGCTCTTATATATATTTCTTTTATTCTCTCCTTTTTCTATGGGTTTATTTAAAAAGTTTGTATACATTGTGTTTCACACTATTCTTCATTCACATTGTGTTACATACAATCATTCTCATGCATTATGTTATATAAAATTAATCACCATTGAGCTTTGCCCATCATTACCCTGTCTTTTCACCTGGATCTTTGCCATTTCCTTCTTCCTTCCTTCCACCCACCAACCTGTACAAGACTATGGCTTGACCCCTATGAGGGA